CTCTGTGTGTGAAAGTGTTTGTGTATAAAAGCTTCTGTGTGTAACAGCTTCTGTGTGTGAAAGTGTGTGTGTCTAAAAATATCTGCGTATAAAAGCGTCTGTGTGTAAAAGCCTATGCGTGTAAAAGTGTCTAGTGTCTGTTGGTAAAGGCGTCTGTGTGTAAAAGCCTATGTGTGTAAAAGTGTCTAGTGTCTACGTGTAAAACCTTCTGTGAGTAAAAGCTTCTATGTGTAAAAGCGTCTGTGTACAAAAGCGTCTGTGTGTAAATGCGTCTGTGTGTAAAAGCGTCTGCGTGTGAAAACAATACGAAGGATAGGATGCAAACCAGTATTTTGTATTTGTAATATATTGTCTTGATACTACTTGTCTCGCCTGCCTAAAATACATCTTTAATATATTGTCTTACAATATAATGTCTCAATACTAACAACAGAAGACCCTGCTCTCTCTCTCTCTCTCCCTCTCTCTCTCTCTCTATCTCTCTCTCTCTCCCTTTCTCTCTATCTATGTCTCTCTGTGGTTGCAAGACACGTGTCATATAATGCCCTTTACCAAGCAGCACAGTGCATATGCATGGGTTGTCACATGTATCCTCTTCTTAATCAATCTTACTTTTCACAACTTACCCCTCCATAGCTCATATAAAATTCACCAACCTATCACCGACTATTTTTTACGACTACCATACTCAGAGCTGCTTGAAAAACGTCTTTTTCGCTCTCGGGCCAACCGTCGTCTAGTTTTTTTTGCGTGCCGGGCGTGGCAGTTTGCGAGATTCCAACCTTATTGATGCCACGTAGAAAATACGGCATCCGGAGCAAGACTCGCACGAAATGCTCCTTTTTTTGCACCTGCACTTTCCAGATAACCCTTGAACTATGTTCTCTTTACACTCCTCACTCCTCCTGAGGCTGGGGACTCTACACCCCACCACATAACACACTCCACACTACACTCAAGACTTCCCACTCCTCACTCCTCACTCCACAGTTTTCTTTCTATTCCCCTTGCTTTACACCCCACACTCCACACACCACACTCCCCACTGTACACGCCTCACTCCACTTTTTACACTCCTCACCCGACGCTGTACACTCGTCACTTTACAATCTTCACTCCACACTCCACACTACGTTACGTACACAACACTTCACACTTTCCACTCCAGAGTGCAGACTCCACACTCTATTCTTACACCCACAACCTTTCACCCGTCACTCCACCCTGTACACTCCAAACTCCAGCCGTTACACTTTTCACCCCACTCTGTACACTCCAGACATCACACTAGACCCTTTTCACTTTACACTCCACACTCCACCCTTTTTTACTTGACACCCCACACGCCATCCCACTCTTGACACTCGACTCTTTAGCCCCACAAACCCTCCTAGCTTTGTACTTAACACTTCAAACTGCATTCTTCCCACTCCAGACTTCACACTTTCCCTCTTTACACTCCACACTTTACACTGCACACTCCATACCCCACATTTTGCACTGTATAGTCCGAATCGCCCACCCCACAAATTACACTCCACACTCCTTCTTCACACGCCACACATCACACTCTTCCACATTGCGGACTGGTTACGAGGGAAAAATTTCAATTCTAACTTTTTGCAGAAAAGGTATTGTGCATGATTCCATGTGTTTTTACATTTGTCACATCAACATACGTGTGAGCATTCGGGTGTTTAGACAATGCTATGTTGAGTGTGGCTGCCAGGCCTTTTTGTTTTCCCAACAAACAAACAACCCCACTGGCACCTGGAGACGATGCTATGTTCAGTGTGGTCGCGCAAGTGTGTCAAAGGAAGAAATGCAGCTGCGAGGACGTGATTATTCCACACCATCCCACCCGACCCTCCCGCATCTTGAGACGATGCTATGTTGATTGTGGTCGCATGTGTGACACAGTGTTTGTTTCTGAGTCGCGGAGATGGTGATTGCGGAACCGCCTTTTTGTGTTTGTGAAATCCTTGCTTTTTGGTTGCGGAATCGGCTTTTTTGGTTGCGGGATCGTCTTTTTTGGTTGCGGAAGAGCGCGGAAATTTGGTTGCAGAAGTATCAACGTATGGTTTCGGAATCGGAATTTATTCCCAAACAGCTCTTGAGCTGAATGGGGTTCTTAATTCTTGCGAGAAACGGCCTTTGTTCCCTCCTGATTTGCTGGCTCCTCCTGTTTCTGGCTTGTGTTTTGATGCTTGTTTTCCTTTTTTTCTTTTCTTTCCTCAGGATAAGGGTTCTGTTCCATCATGATTTGCTGGTTCCTTGTCTCCCTTTTTCTTTTTTTTTTTCCTCAGGAAACAGGTTCTGTTCCATCATGATTTACTGCTTCCTTGTGGTCACGGGTGGGATTCCGGTGCTTGTCTTCATGATTTGCTGGTTCCTCCTGATTCCGGCAGGGGTTCCGGTGTTTGTCTCCCTTCTTCCCCTTTTTTTCCTCAGGAAAAGGATTATGTTCCATCATAGATTTCGTGGTTTATGGGGTTCCGGTTCTTGTTTCCCTTTTTCTTTCTTTTTTTTTTATCATTAGGAGTGTACCAAACAATTCCATAAATTTTAAATTGTACATGATCTTGGTGGAAACATGCGTTGTTGCTGTTTGGGATCTATGCTAGTGTAATTTAATTTTTTATTTAATTCAAAGAAGGTTATAAATAAAAAAAAATAATATAAAATATTATTTGTTTTTTTTTCACTTTAATATATAATTTCCAATAATCTAGAAAATATAAACAATTATATATTTAGAAATATATAATATTAATAAAAATATAAATATATATATATATTACTAGTTGTATCCGCATGAAGCTAGGCGGAAATGGGGCGGAAATTACCTTAGGGATATACTATATGTTCTTTTTTATTTAAAGAAATTACATGCACCGTGCGCCAGCAAGGCCCGTACGTACGTGCTTTGTACGAAGCTATTACACATATATTGTTCAAAAACATCACCTGCGCACGGCGCCGGCGCAATGTAACGCCAAGCAAACTTTCCTCACACTTGCCTTCACACTTCACACTTCATTTCATCTCAGATCATGTGAGTACGTCCCAATCCTCTTTGTACTACAAAGCTTGCACAAAGCACTTCCGAATACTACTTTGTGCTACAAAGCTTACACCCCGTAGTACTTTCTACCACAAAGCTTGGATAAAATATTTCCCAATATTATTTTGTGGTACAAAACTTGCGCAAAGCATTTTAAATATTATCTTGTACCACAAAGCTTGTACAGAGTACTTCCCAGTACTACTTAGTATTACAAAGCCTGCACAAAGCACTTACCAGTACTACTTTGTACTACAAAGCTTACACAAAAAAAGCGTTTATACACAGCAAGTTCTTTAGCAGAGAAGCTTTTACACGCAGCAAGCTTTTAAAACAGAGAAGTTTTTACACACAGCAAGCGTTTACACACAAAACAATTTTACACAGAGTACTTTTACACATGGCAAGCGTTTCAGAACACTTTTACACAGAGTGCTTTTACACATGGCAAGCGTTTACACATAAAGAAGCTTTACACACAACAAGCTTTTACACACAAAATCGTTTACACGCAGAAAGCTTTTACAAAAAAACAAATTATACAGAGAAGCTTTCTTATACATAATGACAACAGGATGGATCCCGGATGGATCCCAGCGCCAAAGAAAAGAAACGATTTTGAAACACTTTTTAAAAACAATTTTACAGGGAAAATCACCAGCGACCAATTTGAAAAATCTGTTGACAAATCACAATTGCAACTTTGATGCAGCCACTCCAAAACGATTTGCGATGTCCAGCTGCAAAGGACAATAATATTACGTATGCAGCTGCGGCACCGAGCAACCTTGACGCAGCCATTGCAATGCGATCACCAGTTACAGCTCACAAACCGGATCTCGGCACCAAAGCAAAAAAAGATTGAAGCACTTTTTAGAAGGAATTTTAAAAGGAAAATTACCAGCGCCAAAACTGAAAAAACCTGCTGACAAATCACAATCGCAGCCTTGATGCAGTCACCCCAGTACGATTTACAATGTCCAAGTGCAAAAGGCAAAAAAATTACGCATGCCAAGAAACCTTAAGGCACCCATTACAATGCGTTTTGCAGCATCACGTGGACCTGCACCTCTCTACGTACATGCTACCAAAACATTGCAACAATCAGAAAGCCGTTCCAATGCGATCTGCAACCACAGCGTCCAAAACACCCTATAACTACGTACGCACGAAAAACTACTCGTTACAGAACACAGAGGAGGAACCCATTACGTGCGGAACGACCCCAGCCGCACCCGCTGCAAACAGGAGGTACCTTTCATCGCTGGCTACAACCACTTTACACGGAAGAACGCAAGGTTTCGTGCTCCGGCTTCCTCCCCAATACAAGCCCCATGCAACATTCATGCAGTCATTACAATGCGCTTTGCAGCATCGCGTGGCAAACCTGCATGTATCTACGCACATGGCAACAAAACTTAACCGTAACACCAATCATGAGCCATTCCACTGCTATCTGCAACCACAGCTTCCAAAACACCCTATAAATACGCACACGCGAACAACCACCCGAGAACACAAAGGAGGAACCGATTCGACGATGACGCGTGCTGAAACATTGAGACCTGGGGTGGGGGGGATAATAGTGCATTGTGAGCTTTGAATGATTTGTCCTTCCCTTGGCAGGAACAAAAACAAGGGAGCACCTCTCTGACATTTGTAGCAGTGTTGGCTTGTGAGAAGCAAGGCACACCAGAAATCCAAAAGAATAAAAGCAACATAGGGGCTCCAAGAAACCGAAAAAGAATTTCACAGGTGGTTGTACCAATATTCTGGTTGGGCCATAATGCCATAGGGAAGCAAGAGGCTCGGAATTTAGAGGAACGAAAAGGAAAGCGTGCTAGAACCCAGCACCTTGGGAGAATAATCAAGTTTGATATGGAAAACTAAAATGCTCCGAGATCGATGATCATCTCTTGAATGATGCTCGGCTCTTAAAGCATGCGTTCGGCTTGAAATTTTGCAATCCCGCTCGTTCGTTACCGACCTGAACCAACAACCCGCTTTGGGATTGAATTGGTCAAGTTTTGCCTGGCACCAAAGGTAAGCCATGAGGAGACAATGCCACAACATACTGACATACTGTATCTTTCACACGGGCCCTGAGCGTGTGGGCATGCCCAGTCTCCTACTAATGTAGCCAGGCATTCGCAAGTTCATGCCTTCACGAAGTGCTCATCTGCTCCATCGTGGGCTGCGGCTGCGTTGACGCAGCGTGCATCTCCCGCCTATATCTGGAGCCACTCATCTATCCGAATGAAAGATGTCGCGCAGCCTTTTGAACTCAAATTTCTAAGAATGCAAGATGAACCTTCTGACATCCCCTTAGAATAACTATCCTTTCACCAGGGCTTGGCACAGGTCTTTCCACCTGTAAACGCTATTTGCTCATGGCTTGAAATTTTACTTGCAGCTTAAATTTACAGACATAAGCATGGTGACCTGTTGTGTTTTTTGCCTATGGCCACCAGGCTCCCAATCGTCCCTGCCCTTGATGCAACGGTATGAGGCTCCACGCCCAAGCGATTCCTGCAATTGTGGCGGGAGAGAGCTCAAACGCCGTGCAAAGACCTGCAAATAGCATTGAAAGGCTTCAAAGGCCAAGCTGGTAATGTCAGCGCTAAACCAGCATTTGATCTGCGCTCCGAACCATGGCAGCAGTGGCCACCGCCAAGCACACAACGCCGACGAAAATATCAAAGCTCCTCCTGCACAGCCATGGTTCTGATAGTAAAACCTCCATGAAGAGTTTTTCCAGTCATCTTCATTTTCAAACAACAAAACGAGGAAGGTGAGGACCGGTCCCCCAAGCACTGCGCTCTCGTCTTCCAATGACGTACCTTGATCCGGACACAACAAAACAACATGAACAATAATTTTCTATATCGCAGCCCTGGGCACATCCCAAGGAAGATGTACAGACAACTTCGGCCGCTGAGCCTTGTCAAATACCTAGGAGTCAGCCAGCGGCTGCAAGGGACGCTTCATGGCATGCCAAAAGGAAAAACCTTTCGTCAGCCAACAAATCACATTGCAATCTCAAAATTAAACCTGCGCAAGAGTTTTGGGGAGATCAAGCATGCGCTCACCCTTGCATTGGCCGATGCGACCGCTGAGCTTTCGCGCGGAAAGTTCTCACTGACCCATGGATGAGGCCTGATTTCTGCTAGAACTCCGGCTACACCTGCCCAATAGCTGCCGTCGGCCAACTTCTCCCGCTGCTTGCGGTGCAATACGTACAACTAACTGAATGGCTAACCGAAATTGCAAGAACAATGGCGGGTTCTTTGATCAACCCTGCCTGCACCCCCTAACAGCACGCATTCGGCGGTGAAGTGCCTCATGCCGATGCCAAAAACATGAAAGAAATACACTTAAAAAGCAGCAAGCACATGGTGAGCTGCGGGGCCGTCTTTGCTTGCGAGTTTTCCCACAGCAAAGCGAAAAAAAGTATTCGTTTTTGGATGTTTGGTTAGTCCACATTTCTACTTTCCGTATGGCGTTCTTGCTCCTTTGAAAGGGTCGCGTATCGGCTGCATCATTTTGCTTCTGCCTCCGGCCACACGATTGTCTCCTATTTGTCTGTGTCTCTGTGCTACACTTGTTTCCTACTTCTCTCCCGCTACCTATTCGTGCGCCATGGGTGCTGTGGGCCGCGTGATTTTGCAGTTGCCTCCTAATTGTCTCCAATTACGCTGTGGGTACTGTCGGCGCTTGATTTTGCACTCGCCGCCTACTTGTCTCTCTCTTGTTCTACGGAGGCTGTGGGGGCTGTCAGCGTGATTTTGTGCTTGTTGCACTTGTCTTTTATTCCCCAAACAGGTCCTACGGTAGAGGCCGATGCTTAATCAGGGTGCTCCACCTGGCTTCCAGCTATTTCCGGTAAAGCTGGCTGTTGTGCAATGTCCGTATGCATTTCGATTGCACAGGCTCGCGCAAACTCTGCCGTGCGAGTTTTCCTTGGTCTTGCTCTGCGGCATTTTACCTCAAAATTCTCGCATGAAATTGCTATTCTGACATGTCCATGTGCATTTCGACCGCACAGGCCTGCACAAAACGGTTGTCCCACAAAATTGCTCTTGTGATTGCTTGTATCTAGCACATTGACTTCCTACCCTGCACACTGTTTGGGGTCTCTTGCCTCCCAAAGCCTCCAAGTTCGCTGTAGGACTACGCTGTGGGTGCTGTGGGCCGCATGATTCTACACAGCAAAAAACTTTCAGTTCCAATGCGGTTCACACACGGGCGCGCGCGCTCAAACTTAAAACGTAACATAAATGACAGGTTTTGACGCTTCTGACCCGGACAGGGCCCGCCCACCTGCGCAAGGTTGGGGGCTGTGGACAATTGTGGACAGACAGTCGCGAGCAAAACCCAAAGCTAGGCAAAAACCACCAAGTGCTTGGCTCTTGCACAACGGCATCCAACGGCATCAAGCGGCCCATTGACCAAATCTCAGGCAGGCGCAAAGCTCTCAGGAAGTTTCCAGCCGCAACATGCGGCAAGAGGTCCTCGGCTCCGTGCAGCGGCCCTATGATAGGTATCCTATGGTCCCGCATGTTTTCGGATTCTGCTGACTTTGACCCTGGCCCCTGCTGCTACGTTCTCACAGCGCCAACTAGTTTGAAGCACTTTGAACGCGAGAGGCAGCAAAAATCAAATCTTGTTGGGTTGCAAGCCTTGAAAAACAAATAAAGGCTTCAAGTTGAACGCTTGCCCAGCGGAATGTGTGACAGCAACCTCTCACCTTCAAGTTCTGCTTGGGTCTGCGTGGCTCTCTTTTCAAATCAAGGGGCGACAAAGAAGTACAAGGTGCAGGCCAAGACCACCAATGCAGAAGCACCACCTCAACATCCGAGCTGTCATGTCAATCATGTGTCATCCAATCAATTTGGCCAAACAGATTCGCACGGATACGTGGCACAACTGTGCAAACATCCCGCGATGCATGATGCACAAACTGGCACCGTGCGGCGCTGCATTCCACCATGCAAAAATGCAAACGACGACATTTTCTTTTACTGCTTTGCTCATGGCGGCATGAGTCTTTCGGCGAAGATGGGTGGCGCAAATTTCAAATATAGGTACCATTCGCCATCAGGAACGACGTCCGTCACACAGGAGAGACCATCTAACAAGCAGGAATAGCATTCACGGCGATTTCCTTCCATGAGAAGCATTTCTATTTGGAACCTTGCCGCAACCTTTTGCTGGATCCTCGCTGGAACCACCCAGCTGGGATGTTGCAGAAACAGTTGCTAGAATTGCTAGAACCCTGGCCAGAACCGTTTGGAACATTTGCCAGAACCCTAGCACAAGCCTGCCGTAATGGCCGAAAGGTAGACGGGTCGCAACCCTGGAATGTTTCTGCTCGGCTTCCATGTGAAAACATTCTGGCTTGCATGTTGCAAACGGCGATTGAAAATTTCCAATGTTTTGACAGGAAAACTCCTGAGTCATTGTGCGCAAACAAGTACAGCGCGGTGTCCAGACAAAGCGGTTGGTGCTTCATGCTGCTGGGTTGCATTGTGACTGATTCTGTGAGCTGATGCTAATAGCTTCGCTATTCTGACCACGCTCCGCGTGATTCAGAAAACAGGCCGGGGTCTGTGTTTAAAACGGCATGGCCAGCGAATGCTAAAAGCTAAGCCTTTGAGACAAACATTGCCGCTAGAAAACTCAAAGCACTGGCTATGCTGCTACGCAGGACCAAAGCTCTATTTTAATTAATCGTGGCCCAGCAGGTATGCTCGTACATGTAACGGATCGCTTCCAAACCTAGCCCGGCGAAACACACCTGTTTCAATCTATCTTGCTCGATGACGTATCAATCCGTCTACGTTTCTCAAAGGAGTTTTTGCCAAATTGATTTTGAGCAAACCTGTGCCAAACTTCCCTCTTTGAAACGTATCTCTATGCAACCTGCCTCTGTCAAATTCACCTCTATCAAATTCACCTCTATCAAATACTAGACGACGGATGGCCCGAGAGCGTAGAGGAGCAGAGCCTTCTGTTGTTAGTATGAAGACACTATATTACAAGACAAAATATTAAAGATGTATTAAAGGCAGACGAGAAGAATAGTATCAAGACAATATATCACAAACACAAAGACCATAGTTTGCATCGTAAATTTCGTATAGTTTTTCACACGCACAACTTTTTACAAACAGACGCCTTTGCACACAGAGAGTTTTACACACAGACGCTTTTACACACAGAGGTTTTACACAAAGAGGCTTTTACACACAGAAGCTTGCACACACACAGACGCTTTTACACACAGACACATTTACACACAGAGCCTTTTACATGCAGAAACTTTTACACACAGACACTTTTACGCTTTTACACACAGATAGTTTTGGACACAGACGCTTTTACACAGAGACGCTTTTACACAGAGACGCATTTACACACAGACGCTTTTACACACAAACACTTTTACACATAGAGGCTTTTACACACAGACTCTTTCACACACAGACACTTTTACACACAGAGACTTTTACACACAGAAGCTTTTACACAAACACCTTCACACGCAGAGACTTTTACACACACAGACGCTTTTACACACAGACGCTTTTACACACAGACGCTTTTACAGAAACACTTTCACACGCAGAGACTTTTTCACACAGACGCTTTTTTCACACAGACGCTTTTACACACAGACACTTTTACACACAGACGCTTTTACACACAGACGCTTTTACACGCAGACGCTTTTACACACAGCACGCTTTTACACACAGAAGCTTTTACACACAGAGGCTTTTACACACAGAAGCTTTTACACACAGACGCTTTTACACGCAGACGCTTTTACACACAGACGCTCTTACACACAGAAGCTTTTACACACAGAAGCTTTTACAGACAGACGCTTTTACACGCAGACGCTTTTACACACAGACAGACGCTCTTACACACAGAAGCTTTTACACACAAAAGACTTTACATACTTCGCCGGATAACATGGAAATCGCAATTTTACCTCAGTGTTTGGAGATCGAACCTCGTTTCGTGCGAAAAGGTTGCGCGGGACAAGTTGAAATCGCAATTTTACCGGCGATCGAACCTCATTTCGTGCAAAACGGTTGCGACGGGAACCCGGAAATCGCAATTTTACATCAGTTTTGGCGATCGAACCTCATTTCGTGCGAAAGGTTTGCGCCGGACCCCTTGAAATCACAATTTTACGTCAGTTTTTGGCAATCGAACCTCATTTCGTGCGAAAGGGTTGCGCGGGACAAGTTGACATCACAATTTTATACATCAGTTTTTGACGATCGAACCTCATTTCGTGCGAAAAGGTTGCGCGGGACAAGTTGAAATCGCAATTTTACATCAGTTTTTGGCGATCGAACCTCATTTCGTGCGAAAGGGTTGCGCCGGACGTCTTGAAATCACAATTTTACCTCAGTTTTTGGCGATCGAACCTCATTTCGTGCGAAAGGGTTGCGCCGGACCCTTTAAATCACAATTTTACCTCAGTTTTTGGCGATCGAACCTCATTTCGTGCGAAAGGGTTGCGTTTCGTGCCGTCTCGTTGGCACTGCCCCTGCCCCCCGCCTTCAAGAGAGAAATAGAAAAGAAGGAGAGGGCAAGAGGGCAAGAGGGCAAAAGGGCAAGAGGGCAAGAGGAGAAGATGTGAGGATGAGAAGATGTGAAGATGAGAAGATGTGAAGATGAGAAGATGTGAAGATGAGAAGATGTGAAGATGAGAAGATGAGAAGATGTGAAGATGAGAAGATGTGAAGATGAGAAGATGTGAAGATGAGAAGATGTGAAGATGAGAAGATGAGAAGATGTGAAGATGTGAGGATGTGAATATGTGAAGATGTGAATATGTGAAGATGTGAAGATGAGCAGATGAGAAGATGAGAAGATGAGAAGATGTGAAGATGTGAGGATGTGAAAATGTGAAGATGTGAAGATGAGCAGATGAGAAGATGAGAAGATGTGAAGATGAGCAGATGAGAAGATCTGAGGATGAGAAGATGTGAAGATGTGAAGATGAGAAGATGCGAAGAGGAGAAGATGAGAAGATGAGAAGATGTGAAGATGTGAGGATGAGAAGATGAGAAGATGTGAAGATGTGAGGATGAGACGATGTGAAGATGAGAAGATGTGAAGATGAGAAGATGAGAAGATGTGAAGATGAGAAGATGTTTTACAGACGCCCGCTATTGGAAGAACCCTGCGCTCAGACGCTCTCGGGAAAAACCGCTATCAAATTTATCTCTGCTATATTGCCATCATTTTTTGCTTTGCTTCGCAAAAATCCCCTGTGGCGCCGTGACTTACTGGAAGTTTTACCACGTCGGGTTGTCAGGTCCTCACGTATATGGTTTGAGGGCGTGGTGTTGGCTGATTGTTAAATGTGGGCTACGCGTCCCTTCAACAATGGCGCTCAAAATGCCCCCCCAAACAGCGGGGAGAAGTTGGACGAAGATAGGTCTGATAGATGGCAAGTCAGCATAAATTTGACAGATAGGCCGCGCCCACTAGCCTCCAGGATTTCGGTGTTGAGGTGATGGTACTTAGGTATGTCTGTGTGGTGGGTGATTGTGGGTGCTATGGGCTAGAAAATGGATTGCGCTTTGTGGCGGTTTTGGTCGCTTGAAACTACTTGTTCTATGTGTTGCGGTGACCCTAAGCTTGCCACTGTACTGAACGTACTTTGGCTGGAAATGAAACTGCGCTGAGTGACTAGGAGCTGCCATCGAAATATTGCATGGTAGCTGAGCTACCGGTGGCCCTACTCTGGATCCTGTGTGGGGAAGCAAGTCTGCCCGACTGGCCCTTCTGTGAACATTGAAAATGGGCGAGGCGATGCTGGCCCGCTGCGTGTGTGTGTGTGTGTGTGCCATCTGTATGGGCCCGTATGGATGTAAAGCTTCTATTCTATGCAGGGGCTTGTGGCCCTCATGTCCTGACCACACGCAACGTGGCTGGTTTCCTGTACCCGCATATCTATCTATATATATATTATATATATATATATTCCCCCGCCCTGTGCGCATTTAAGTCGCAGCGGGGGGGGCCTATATTTTATCCCTGTCATTATATATGGTCAAAGTTTGATGTGATCTTAATACTTAAATAATTAAGGTCATAGTATATATATATATGTACATTGTGTTGATTTGTCTTTTTGGTCCAGCCATCCCGTCAATTCTTCCGGGATGGGGTGTGGTGGTGTGGTGGTGCCACGCATGTTCACTGATCCTTGCACAGGGCCCATTGACGTTCATGATTGGGCACGCGTCTCATGGCTTCCACTCGATGCCAGTACGCAAATCTGAAGCTATCACGCGTAAAGGGGCAAAAGTCAAAACGGAAGAACACGATCTGTATGGCTGCTATTTTGCTAATCCATCGGAGAAGGAAAACTTTCAAAGGACAACCATGCTTGCCGCACTGCCAGTCATGTGCCATGTCACTTGGTGAAGTCTATCGCTGAACCCTGTGACCTGAAGGGAAGGTGGGGTTACCTGGCAAAAATGATAAGATGATGTGATGGAAACGAAAAAACAACAAATTAAATAATGAACAAGTGCCAGCCCAATGTGCCCGCCGCAATCCACAATCGGCTTGCAGCTTCGGCATGATAGAATCTATGCTTTCATTGTTGCAGCCACGGCACCACCAGCAAGGCGCAACAAGGCTTGTGAAGAACGCATGGTTGAATGCTGAAATGTCTGCGGTAAAACACATCAGCCAGCACGAAGGGCAGCTTCATAGACCGAATCTCAATGGCGGAATATGCACATGTTCAGCAAATAATTTCATAAACGCCGTGACCTAAAACTATCACAATCTTAAAGATGCAGGGCGGCGCTGGGCTTGCGCGGAGAATCCAAACAGCGGATGGGTCGCATAGCCTTCCTAGAGCCTTCCTTGATTGAAACTGCATCAAGTGCGCGCCCATACGTGCAACGCCCGCGTTCCGTCCAAGGCAGCAAACTCATGGCAAGGACGATGAAGGGTGACAAGTATGGTCCCCGATCACGCTCTGCCATCAGCAACATCAGCACCACGCCATCCGCACCAGCAGCACCACCCAGCCGCAGCAACAGCAGCAGCAGCACCACCAAGACCAAGACCAAAAACAAAAATCGGCACCAGCACCACTACCCCCACCCCCATGTAACTTACTTTTCGGGACATGTCCACACAATGCATTTACAGTTGTGCATGTTCATGACATGTTCACTTAGTTAATTTGCACCATTGCGCCACACCGTGGCTCAAGACCGCCAGCAAAGGTGCTAATTCATAGCTTTCTAGCTTAGATCCAGGGCCCCTAATCCGGGGATAGCTACCTCAAAGTGGTAGCGGAGCTCCGTGCCCTGTTAGATCCGATTTCCGGACAGTTGCTCTTGCAGCTGATCCGACATACGGACTAGCGAGGCAAGTTGTGGCACACCTCCAGAATAGTTGCCACGGTCCAAATCCATTCCATTGATTCAGACAATGGAGAGGTTCAGCTCCAAACAATCAAGAGCCGGATGCCTACGCCGGGACTGAACATGACTTCGAATTCCTCGCCAATCCGACGGCCAAACTGGTTCGAGGACGAAGATCCATTGCACGGAATCATGACCCTAGACGCAGACAAGTCAATGCCCGACAACGCCCTACTCGGAGATCCGGATCGTGGCTTAGCCCATGTCCAAGATACCTTGAGGCCCTATTTCGTGAAGGGCGTGGATCATGTGTTCCTTTGGCATTTCCTTCTGTTGTTTGGCCAGCATGAATTTGTTCATTGGATAGGACATTTCGAAGTTGCACAGAAGAGACTTCTTGCATCGTGGTCCGGTGTGCAGATGAACAGCGCCAGCAGCACCAGAATCTCTAAAACGATGAGGAGTAAATAGCAGAGCATATCAGACAACCCTTTGTGAGCCACAATCATGAGTTGGCGCAGAATACATCAAGGATTCCCATTATCAGACAGCCTCATGTCTCTCATCTTTTTGGTTCAAGCAAACCTGAACGAACAGAAACGTGAAAGGTTCCTGTCTTCAATGAACAGCAGGCAAATAGCCATGCCTCAGTACATGTACCTTCAAGTGAAACAGTTGTTCCCCGAACTCTTTTGTGTCTCCTAGGATAGGAATTGCTGACCCGAACCACCGAAAGCGGTCATCTTTCTATATCATAGATGAAGGTGAAACCGACGACGGTGAACAAGGATTATGGGTCGTAGATGAGGCTGGCAATGGTTTACAAATCCCTACACAGAATCCGAATTCTGGATCCTGGGCGCTAAGGGTACTTACTCCAAGCGCCTGTACGGCCGATCATTCAAGAAAGGAAGACCAAATGGTTTTTGCAAGACAGGCAAATGTTCAAGACCCGGCTTCCGCCCGAAGGCAAAAGGAAAAGGCTGTGCAACATGGGAACAAGACCCGCAAGACACAGCTTTCTGGGGGAAAAGGCCAAGGCAAGAAAGGTAAAAAGGGAATTACAGGACCGGACAACCCCACAAGTCAACTTCCTCCAAAAATGAGCAACACATGTTGTAGTGGGACGGGAAAGGAAGGAAAGACAAAGGAGGTGGTGGAGGATCGGGAAGTAAAAAAAAGTATGTGAAGAGTTGCGTGTGACAAAGTTGTATGTGAAAGATGGTGTGTGTGAAAGTTGTGTGTGAAAGAGATGGTGTGTAAAAGATGGTGTGGCGAAAGATGTTGTGTGACAAAGTTGTGTGTGAAAGATGGTGTGTGACGAGGAATAGATTCTATGCCCATCAGTGAACGCCCTGCTTGTCTTTCGCCCATGGAGAAGATGGAAGGGGAACCTGGGCGCGATGCAAAGGCAGACCAAGTGCAGAAAACACAATGCAAAGACACCACTTCACACTGTTTCATGCGTGTTCTAGTCGAAAGCAATGCAGAGGATTCAGTTTTCCAACCGTTCCAAACTAGATGCGAATGATTCAGTTTTCCAACCGGTGCATAACCAATGTGTTCGGAACGCCTTTGAAGTATGAAAGCATCGTTTTTTTAGGACACCGGACAACTCATGGGTCCCTGGCAATTAGACACGGGAAGAATGGAACTCAAAGACAGGCGTGAAGGAAAACTATTCGGAAGGCCTGAATGGACGAGCTCATTGGCGCGCACAGACGGCACAAATACGCACCGTTTTTTTTTTGGCAGCGCCAACGTCACCTGCGGCGCACGCGATTTCTTCCCACGTTGGGTCAAAATCGAGACTTGTCGATTCATTGGTGGGAGGAAGTGTGCCAGCATCTCCAGTGTTGCATTGCTGGCCATCATTTCCAGTGGTGCATTGGTGTATGAGTTCCAAAGGAAGATTATGCATGCGCCAGAGTTCCGTATGCAGATTCTTCAAGATATCAATGCAAGCGTCCACACGCTGAAGCGTCACTCGATAGTAGGTCTGCACAGCTACTGTAGTAAGAGGAGAAATGGATCGTAGCTCGGTCTGGTCAAAATCCAATCTGCGTCGAGCAGCTTCGAAGGTTTCAATCAAAGACCAGACCTCATGCTGCGCGGAGGTCTGCGTCTGTTGCCATTCCATGGGCTGGCGACAAGTGCGCTTAATGCGCAAATATAGATATTAGATTAGGGAATGAATATGTTTGAGCCTGCGGAGAAATAAGGTTGAATGAATCCATCATGACGCAATCTGACAGCTTGTTGGCACAGTGAAAATCAGTCAAGCTGTTGTGAACCGAATGCTCCAATGAGCATGAGGACCGTCAACCTTGATTGTGAGACCTGACGCCACCTCCTTCTTGAACCACTGCAGATCACTTTCATTTCCAATCAAAAGCACATCATCCACATGTACTGAGAGATACACTCGCCTCTCACGGTTCACCAACTTCATGATCGTCGGGCATCCCTTGTACCATTCCATGCCAGCAACTTGACATAGCTTCGAAAAGTATTCAAAGAAAGCATCGCATCGGAGAGCCGCATTTCGATGCTGTGGCAAACATCGTTTCATTCGGCAAACTGTTGCTCGATCTTCTGAAGATAGATTTCTGACCCATAGGGGGATAACCACAAACATGTCTTGTTGCTGCTGACCATAATTACTAAGGACCAAGAAGATTCTAACTGCACCAAAGGTTGTGGTTGGTGCAGAACTGTTCTCATCCGTGTTGTCAGATCTAAATTTTCTTGCTACTATTCTGCGACGTCTTCGCTTGCGATTGCGTTATCAGCAAGCTTGTGGCTGGGGATCGTTCTGGTATCGATCTCCTCTGGAGCAATCACCTGCATTTCGTACAGCGTGGCAGCCTCATCCAAAGCCGCTTGTGCATCCAACTCTGCGAACTTCTCAAGAGGAACTGTAGGAGGGCCATCTTCTTCAAGACGTTTGTTTGTACTTTCATCCTCTGAATGTGCATCCTCAAAACAAGAAAATCCCAATCATCTTCGCAACCAATCACGTGCGTGATTCAATCTCACCAATGCGTCTGACGTTCGTCTTTGCCCCCTTGACCTTTGGCTGTGGGACTGGGTCATCATCAAACTTCTTCAAGGCTTTTGATTCTGAACCACCTTGAGCTTCTGCTTTGTGTTTGGATGCTGCTTGACCTGTTGAGTCTACATCCATCCTAAGGCTCGAAGAACTAGCCGCACCTGGGCCAAGCACTGATTCTTCTATCGGCGTCTGAACAATTTCCAAACCAGGATCAACAGGTACTCGTCGAGGGCTTCTCTTTTCAAGACTTGTGGGCCCATATGCGTTGGATTGAATTGCTTCTTGAACTTGTTCTTGTTCACGTTCATCGTCTGAATCTGGGAAACCCTTGACTGCTTCATCTTCTTCATCAAGGAACGGTCTGGGAGGTAAACTAAGGCTCGATTCTGCTTCACCTTTGACTGCGAATAACCCGTGGTGTCCCACGGACCAATCACCAAATTCAAAATCCCATCTGCAGACCATGCAACTGCCGTTCTTGTGCTTGACTTTGTTCTTGTGATTGTCCCACTTGCTGTTGCCAAACCATCATGATTAGCACCAGCTTTTGCGAACCATACACCTTTCCTCCAACCGGGTTTGTGCTTGGATCCCTTCGGATCAAGGCCATAGGTCACCTGTCCAAAGCAAACAATTTTGTTGTTGTATGGTCTACCATTCACGGCCTGATGGGGAATGATCTTTGTAGTGCTATGAGTATGGAAACGGTTCTAAAGACAGTGGAGGGCATTGCTGCCCAGTACAGAACTGCATGTCCTTGTGGGGTTTTGGACTTGATGGCTTCTTCAAGTTGCATTACCAATGTCTTCTGCAGTTTGCGGACTGTCTGGATTGTTCTCTCGCAAATGCTAGTGTGGTCTTTGCTGTAGTTGCAGTTGGTTGTGACTGTCGTGGAAAACCCTTGACGGGCTCAAACCTGCTTGAAAAACTCCATGCCACTTACCAAAGCTTTCTCATTGTCCACACAAACTTCTACAGCACCAACATAAACCAGACTTCCAACAAACCTTGGCATTGCACTGCCAACTGTCTTTGCCTTCTTGGGTTTGGTAGGTTTGGCATGTGCATACCTTGTCCATGAGTCGACCATCAGCAAGATTGGCTTGACACCAAGAGAACATTCTGCTTTGTCTCGATTCTGACAGAAAGTAAAAACCAACTTCGATCGTGGGTCGATCTCGCGCTGCTGCAAGATCAGCGTCAGCATGACTTGCATGATAATCTCCTCGTGCTGAAACG